CTTTGTTGTTGAAATCTATATCCTCTTTATTGTTTGCATATGAAAGTGAATCATTCAAAATGATCCGGTTAGTGTCTTCACTAATTCTCTACAGCAGTGTTTGAAAGATGTTGACATCATGTCTAGACATCTAGGCAGTTTTTGTATAATCCCTTGATAGGCTTTCGAGGTGCGTCTAGAGCCATCTCGAAATGTCTGTAGCGAAACTTGGAGATTGCTTGATTTTGATTGAAATACGAAGCCTACATTCCTCTTGCAACGCCATAAGTAAACACCCGGCAACTATTTCTCTATCGTAAGACTTTGTAGGTTCTTGGCTAGGCTAAGGAAACTGCCTTAACGTAAAAGTTATGAACATTTTAATTCGTGTAGACGGTGCTTCTGAAAAGATGCTGGCTGGTCTGGCATATAAACCGCCCTTCCATAAATCTACTGTCTTTAGGTTAAATCACGAAAACCCGTGGTACCTGCTGCTCCCTTTTTGTTCTAGTCCAGAACAGCTGCTTGAAAAACTGACCGATACTTGAAAGTCCATCCTATGCCTCTTCTTACTGCTAACTCATTATGGTGTTTCCACGACAAAAGAACTTAAAGGTATCGAAAAACAGGATGAAATTTATAAAAAAACTTGCGCAATCCAAGTCCACCGGTATACACACGCCAGTGTAACCGATAAATCCTTTACGCACATGGGTCTTTGTTCGCTACCTTCTTCGTTCTACTGAAATCCCTTACAAGCAGCCTATAATAACCCCACAATGCGTTTGAAGAAGTTCCCCGAAATTTACCGTGTAATAACTAATTGATCTGCAAGTGAGTATCACATCGTAATTTGTAGTCAAGGCCACACAGTATCAAAATATAGCCTCACGCTGCCAAGTGTTACACACCTGATTCTAATTCTGTTTTTTTAAATAAATTTTTCGCCCTAATCGAAATAAACATTCAGTTCCAACTTGCATTTTGGATAATATCTTCATCCTTACCGTATGATAAGGCCCATCGAACCAACTTTGTAAAGCAGATGAAGGGGAGTAAGCAGAATAAAATACCCCCACCAAGCGAAATAGCGTTTTCACTATCGTCAAGATGATTCTTTGGAATGAAAATACGGAGTACTTAAAATCTATTGCTTGCATCAGGTGGAGGATAGTTTAAAAACAGTTGTAATATTTATTGGCTGTTTCTTTTATGCATTGTTTATTTTGTGTTGTTTACTTTTTTCCAACTTTCCGTCTGTTCCACAGCAATACGTGTAATTGCCTGATATGATCTATCGAAATAACATTGCGATTCTGAGTGCAAACAATGATGAAGAGGTTCATTAGCAGACTGATAAATTTAAACGTCATCAAGGGAAATAAACCTTTGTCATCGTCAAATTTTGAACTTTAAATGTACAATAGTTCCCCGGTTTTCCAAATCTGTTTCCATATCCGTCAAAGCATTCATCTCACCTCCAAAATGCACACACTATTTTTCGGTTAACCCTGTTGACAAAATATTAACTGTGTCAACTTTAGTGACAATAGGCAACTGATTGTGAGTTTTTTGTTTGCCCCATTTTTATTCAGTATAGTTTTTAGCAAACTCGATTGAGATGGTCATCTTCAGATCGCACGGTGAGGATTTATTGCGGCTGCTCAGTGCCTTTACGAAGACGATAGTGCAAGCAAATTTTCTCTGTTTCTTATATCACACTGCCATTTCCGACTGTCCAATTACTGCATACAGTTAAATTTATCTCCCCTCTTTTAATTGCATCCTAATTACAAAGGCGTCTGAGAGGTTGCTTTTTGTCATGCTGCTCTGATAATATTAAAAATATATAAAAGAATGCCACGCACTGTGTGATTTTTATTGCAAGGACCACACTTGTATGCTGTTCGAAAAAAGACAGTGCGGACGTTTTAATGCAAGTAAAATTATCGGTCTTCAATTATCTACAGCGCATGGAACTTTTATCAATCCAACCTGTTATACTGGAAGTAAAGACAACCAATATCAACATAGTGTTAATAAAGAATTCAAGTTTTTTTTGTCCCAGAAGAAGTTCACAATGTATTTGCATAAGCAAAACTGGTAAATCCACAGGTCGATAATCGTGAAAATGTCTGAAGTGTTTTGCCTTGCTGAAACTTTCGTCATTTATTTCATACTCATGCTTTCAAAATAGTGTTTAATGGTTCTGGTAAGGGAAACATCATGTCTTATCTGGTCAGGGTAAAAAGATCTACAAAACACAATCGACTGCTTTTCTATGAGAGAAAACACTCAGGATATGGAGTGGACATTACGGTGGATACGCATTTAATTTTCAGATATTCGGATGTTCCTCACGTTTCTTACAAAATGTACAAAAGATTTAACGACATTTCTTCACCGATGACAGTTCCTAAGCTGCGATTAAACTAATACGCGTACGTACGTCTAGCCTGAAGACCAACGGAGAAATAACTAGAAATCATTCTGTAAGAGCGCTGCAAATATTTGTATTTATTTGGTTGAAATTTCAGAACTTCGAATGTTAAGGCAGAATTCTCCATCGATGAGTGAGTCAGTGGTTCTTGGTTGAAATACCACGCGTGATTACACGGAGCCAAAAAATTTCGAGCGACTAGGAAAGCTGAAGTTCGTTACATTTAGTATGTTGGTGAACTAAAGAATTAATCAGATTAAAGGTTGCCAAAATTGTCTGCATTAGTGTCAGTATGAAATTAGGTTGATTGTTTAATATAACAATACACTTACACCCTGTGGAGCTGCAACATATTTATGTACTACATAACAGGGTATACTTAAAGCCGCTGATTCCAGGTTAAGTCTGTTGGAGTGGTCAGCGTAAATCCTCCATCTTGCTGAGATATAAAGTGCCTAAAGGTTAGTTTGGACAACCGCCTCGTGGTGTGGAAGATAATGTGATCCTTACAAGGCAGGCTTTCCTTACCTATATTCATGAATCGATTCAACTGATCGACGTTTCAACCCAAAATAGAATAGTCTGCTTTTTCATGGGGATGGAAGACTTAAGGATGTGAACCTGAATATCAAATGTGATGGAGGTTTTGATGAAAAAATCGAAAGGGTATGTGCACACATTGTTCAAAATCACCATGACATTGTTCAGCGTGTTCTCATTCAGGCTCACCACAATATAAATCTAAAAGTTATAGAGAACGAACCGCTGGGATTAATATAGCCGATGGTTGCTGCGATAAAGTTAGTCTAAAACGCTGCTAATTTTGCGGATTACAAGAAGCTACGGCCTAATGTGTGTTACCATTAGGCGACAGGCAAATAGCAGGCCAGTTTTATTTTAGAGAGCGGTGCAGTTGTTCTGTGCCTAAAGATTAGGTAGTCACAGCCGAGAAGAAATAACTCGTCAGATTACGCAGTCTGATTGCACTGGTTTGGTTTTCTGGAGCATAGTACGTTACCGGAAATGCTGAGATCTGATTAGCCATGTGTCCAGGGTCGATTTGGTGGAACAAAATAGCACTCCACGGTTTACTCCCACGTCTGAAGCGAATCAATGCTGAAATTATTTTCTAGACGGCCCAGAATACTACAAGGTCGTGTGACATATTTAAGCTGTGCCATTTGGATTCATTGAACACTGCAGACTTTCCCTATTGTTCAGATGTAGTGGCGTCAAATTTACCCGAATAACTCACACGTTTTTCCAACCGTCTTGCTGTAGTTGGATCATCTTTTCAAGTTTAGCACTATTTAGGGAACTGTACCTGCCAGAAGATCAGTCAATGAAATCTGCTTACGTAACGATCAAATGACCCGAGTGGTCAGCGGCCACGTAAAAACGATCTTTCAAACTCCAACGTAATATCTTGGGACACGTCGTCGTAAAGGCCATCAGAGAAGACAAAGTAAGCCGTACAAGGTTGTCCGTCCTATTCAGGAATGTCGCGCATACAGAGGCCACTTTATCACCCCACGAAAAGAATAATGCAAGCGTGAATATTCTGGTGGGATGACCCACCAACTTCATTGGTTGTCATGCTAAAACAGAAAAAAAATTGGTTTAATTTTCCACTGGCAGGGCAAGAAAAACAAACTTTGAAAGGGAAATTAAAGATTATAATCAATGGCACAATTAATGAAAACAGTTATTTAAACTGGTTCTTCTAAAGAGGTATTGCACTACCTACTGGAAGGCCAAGTTGGTAACTTTGGCATGGCATTCTTTTTACAAAGGGACGCAGATACACATAGTCCAACTTGGTCACAATTCCGTAAGTTTTCTTTTTCGAGAAACTTCACCTGTGTCACAACTTCGCAGCTACTCACAACTATTCAGCTGATGTTCGGAAATGACCTGGTTCACAATTAGATCATGATATTCCACGATATTCTAATCCATAAATGTTGGTGTGCAGCAAATTACAGGCCACAGGGTGGCCAGCGTTATTGTCTGTACCCATCAAAGGTAATGACACTTCGCTTCTGAAACCCGATTCTTCGCATCAGAAGACGTTCGTTTCCTCATTGGTACTTTCATTTTCAGCCCACACGACAATCGGCAACTTGGCCTATTTGGCCTACTTAGGCTCCGGTTTATATTCAGATCAATTTTGTTGCCTTCATTTTTATTTTCAAATCTCACCGGATGCATTTCTCTATAAGAGGAGCTCGAGAAAGCATTCATATTCTTCAACTGTGGTTCTGACTCAGGTGGTGATTCTAGAGCGCTATAATGTTGTTTTTGGGCAACAGACATAGTTATCCAAAAGGGTAACGTGGCGGTTTCTAGACGAGTAGTGTTGACTTCCATCATATTTAATGAGACTTGTTGTCCTGCTTTATCAACATTACCAACATTTTACCAGATTTAAGCAGAAGGAATTCAAAAAGAAATCACATTATTGGACCTAAAGCATCACCAGTTAGAGCCCACTCTCTATCACGAAAAAATAGAAACGCAACATTATCAATAAGTTATACATTCAGCAGTCATTTTTGTGATCGTCCTTGACTCAACACACTTTACTAACTTCTGACCCATGGAGTTCCACAGAGAGGGTCCATTTGCGTGCATGGGCCACGATAGCAGTTTGGCTGATTTGCTGAAGGACCATCAAAACCCAGGCATATAGATCAACCAAATCCCACACAGCCTCCATCCCAAGACCCGGAAAACTGTTTATCTGTGATGGGCGCTGGTCAATCTGAGTAATGCCTCCTAAAAAGAAGCGGATTATTACAGTCATTTTTTGGTCAGCTGATTGGTCGCATCATTTCGTCGATATTGTGGGAAGGAACTCCACCGTAATGGGTGAATATCCCCCAGTAGAGTAAGAAAGTTACCGTCCAAACATGCTAAGGTAACGTTCGTTAACGACGGGTTTGGAACGGTTTATTTGGCCACTCTCGACATCTCAAGCTGTACGTGCGCATTGCCCTATAAATTGCGATAGCAATATATGTGAGATATTCACTTTGCATCACTATTTATACAGGTTCTAGGTCATGAATTGTTGTGCATGAAAAAGGTTAAAAAACGACAGAATTTTCGAGCAACACAAAAGAGAGACAATCAGTCACTGTGAGTTCCTGAAGAATAGAAAATTTTGAGTTGGTCTCTATTTTGTACGTAGATACCGCAAAAACTGTGCTAGAAACGGCAGAAGTTCATCAAAAGTTTGGATACATGTGTTGCTTTAGATGCGATTCCCAAACCCCCTGGACGGTGAAATAAAGGACAACCAATAAAGCAGGAAGTGTTGAGTAATAGGGTTGTAACAGATATTCTTGGCGCTTACTGATCGTGGGTACAGATACTGTGGGAGAGCTAAGGTCAGAACTGCACAGAAATAGGAAGTCAGTGCCCAGGTAGATAATAAAAGCACAATTTCGAGTAAAACGGTTTAGACTGAAGACAGCGAACAGCATACAACGGTGATGTCAGATCAAAATAGACTGAGTGAGAATTCTGTGAGAATTAAAAAAGGTTTGTTCAATTCATACTGTCTACAAACAACAACAAAATTGAATACGTTACAAAAAAGAAAGATTATAAAGTCCTCGCTGCGTGGTAGAATGACGGTGCTAACTATGCAGCTCTTTGAATGGTTTAACTTTGACGCTTGGCTTGATCTAAGTGTGAACAGTTTTTCACAACTTTACGCCTAACAATACAGGCAAAACGGCTAGGCGTCAATATCTTCAAGATGTTCATCTCGCACAGTAAACGGATTCGTGTGATCCACCATTGCCGATGTTGGTATTGCAGCGGATATTGGTGAGGCATTCTCTTGTAATTTCAGTGCGGCAGCCACACTCATACGCTTCTTGCTCCATCGTCGACGCCCTTGCTTATTATTATCAACGGCAGATGTTGAAGTTGGTGTAGTAATGATATGTGTATACTCCTCCACGGCCTCATCTAGCTCACGTTCAATTTCTGCGTCTTTTGCTTCCAACTCCTTGCGGCAGAGGTGGTCCACAATGCCAGCACCAACAGCATCCCCCATGACATTAATGGATGTTCGTATACGATCACTGAAATGTGTGGGAAGCAGACAGAAGTGACGATAAGAAACCGTTCAGATATTTACAGTGAAATAAAAATCTGTCTGCGATATTTGAAGAAGATTATGCCTGAGATTTGCAGTAAAAATCATAACAATAAGACTTGAGGCAATAATGAGAACAAAGCTAGTGAAAAGCTTTTGACATTTGGGTCATCCCTTCTTGAGCAAAACATCATGAATCAGGCTCTTTTTGCAGAATGAGGGCAGAAACAACCGAGAACGCCATGCTTAAAATTGGCTTTTTTGATGACCTACACCCAGTTGCAAGATGATTTAGCATTGAAATGGCATAAATCCCAGCTAAACATGTCGTTTATGATATTCTCCAAATGAAACTTTACAGAACGACCAGCTTCCACTACAGTTAAAGCGATATTTGAGATACCGCAGTATACTTCCTTGATAGGAAACTACCTATATGGTTGCTGAAATCTCCTCAAATATCCACGACAAGTTATATTCTTGGAGGTCATCAGAGTATAAGTGATCCTAGTTAGTCATTGTTTACCGGCCCAAAAGTAGATCGCTTACAAGAAGTGATTCGTTAAAAGCAGGCGACAGGGAAACGGAAGGAGCCCAGAAAATTAAAAACGGTACAGAAATATTTTGACTTAATTAATGGTTGGACCCAAAACGGAATAAGTCACATTGGATAGGCTCAAAGCATTTTTTAAAATATCAAATCTCGAAGAATGTTTGTAGCCAGATGGCTTGATTGACAATTTTTGCAAACACTAATCTTCTAACGGTTTCATATCTGTAACTCATTTGGTTTAGTTTCAATCTCAGTCGGCAATTCTGAGGTTTTCAAACTTTTGAGATAATCGAATTTTTAGAATCCGTCGCAGTTTATTGGCAATCAGTGTAATCAACAGGGCAAGACCGATTTCCCCTAGATTGCAAATGAAACTTTCGCAAACGAGATGTTAAGCACAGTTTACAGATTGACAGTGGTTGTAGATTGAATAGCGTAACTTGACAGTTCAGCAGCAAAAATGTGAGATTGTAGCAGGCATTTTTAGAACACTGTAATCAGTGTTTATTGATTTGCGTCATCTTTGGCATTAATAACATGTTTCAGTGAACCTTAAACACCGTCTTCACAGAGTACTTCCAACCGACGTCCCACATTATGGATATGGAGCCTGACACCTCCGATTCAAATATTTGAAGTTACCTCACATATCCGATCATACCCATGAGTTAGTATTTATTCAGAATTGGACAAAAATCTATAGATAGTCGCATAGGACCTATTAATAGTACGGCAATAATGACCAAGATCCAATTCCAACCAATCATATTCATTGCTATAATTAGGGCTTACCAGCTAGACGTAGTCTATGAAATTTAACTAGAGGTTTTCATTCTGTGTGGACGACAAATTTACGTCTATCACAGTTATACTTTACTTGCGCAAAAATATGGTGTAGTCAGTGGTTTCGTACACTTTTCAACCATACTACTGGTCTGTGTGCAACATGAGTATTTTGGAGGGAGAGTTGTAGCCAAAACAATTTTTAGATTCATATAAATGTGAAGTGAGTACCTGCAAATAGAAAAATAAATATCTGATAACCAACACGTTAGGCTAGTGATAAGAGCAGGCTGGTTGCATGCGAAAATGAATTGCACTTTTTAATGATGCATTATCCAAACCCCAAACGTAAACTCACAGCATCCAGTCCACCGCAAGAATGAGTGAAATGTCTTTGGTTGGAAGTCCAACAGACGTGAGAACCAGCATCATTGTAACCAAACCAGCACTTGGAACGCTTGCAGCCCCAATCGCTGCTAGAGTTGCTGTCAAACTAGAGTGGATGAGAAAAAATCGAAACAACCGATAAACAAACTGAATCAGGGAGGCAGGGTAAAGTAGAAAAAATTACATATTGGCACTCATGGATAAAGCAGATCAGTTGCATAACACTCGCACAAGAACTACAGTTAGAACATACATAAAAAATCTTCTCTGGACCATCAAGAAATGTTCAAAGGACGCCCAAGAAATATCAAAAAAACCCTTTGTCCCGGTAAAGCATACACCTTTTCTTCAGGAGTTAAGTCAACGAATTTTTCACTGGATTTTTATTCGATGTTTTGAAGTTCCTGGGGTTTTTGGCCAAAAGAAACTAAGTGTGACGTTGTTGTTTGTACTTTCTGATTTTCTCAGTAATCTTTATTGTTCGCACCAGGATTGTCACCATGAATGCAACGCTTTGACATCAGTAGGGTAGACGAAATTCGGTAGAAGGACTATTGTCATGGCACTCTCACAAGCCAGATGAATACCGCTTATGAGATTTATTTTCAAATTAGAAATTTGAGCCGCTCTGGTTTACTCGGTTCCATATACAGCTCACCTATTTACAGTGGCATCAAGGTCAAACTGCTTAGCACGCAGCTCTCGTTCTAACAGTTTAATTAGTCATGGCAGATGTGCTGTTCGCGTTCCATTACTTCCACTCGTGACGCAACATAATAATGTAATCAGTCTCATCGTGCACATAAACACATATCAATATTACAGACACCACACTGCATATTCCACAGTGGCGCCTATAGGTAGATTTTTTCAGTAAAACCGACGCAGTTTTTATCCTACCAGGACATAATTAATGGTTTATGATGGTTATAATTCCAGTCCTACAGAAATACCTTCTCAAATATCAGTATTTCGTGTCAACGGGATCCGCAATGGTGAATAAATCCATCCCAGCTACTGCAAACTCCGATGGCTAGAATCGCCTGAGGTGTGTATTCAATCGCACCTTGAAATTGCACGATATTGGTGAAAATGCAAACAAGTTCATCTGTGTTCATGTCATTTCATACCAAATGCTAAGTACAGCGTAGACAACAAGCCTTAACTTTACTGAACCAGTAGTTATCCATGTCCAGCCATTCGGTATTGCGACTGGAAACACTGTTCTTAAGCCACACTGAGGGAACCAATTTAACTTCCACGTATCCTGCGCCGTCTGTTAATACGATGATTGCAACGTTCCGTCCACTAGTGTCCTTCCTTTAAAAAATAAAACTGAGCCCCGCGAAAAAAACAGGAGTATCTAACATCCAGTAAATACAGGAAAGCGTGAGTAACTTTCCTGATTTTGGATCGAATCCATAAAAACCCAGTATTATAGAATCTTTGCCCTTGTTGGGCTCTAGAGGGAGGTTGAAGGACGTTGAAATGCATAAGCAATTAGTTAGCAGTTCCATGCTAACGATCTACGAACTATTTACTGATCAAACAACTTACGCAGGTGATGAATAAGACTTTTGTATAAGCAACATCATTTTTTACGAGTAATTGACTTATTCAGATATTTATTGGTTTACCGACGAGCATTTCCAATGGACCAAATGAATAGATATATTTTTGTTCACATTCAGAAAACAACACTGTTTTTTAGTTATCCTGTCCGTTGTGTGAATGAATGACTGTTCAGCTAAAACGTATAGGGTATTCGATAAACTGATGAAATATGTCGAAAGTTGATTATGACAAAAACCTGAGCCTATAATACAAGTTTAGGTGGACCTACTGACTGATTTTAATGGGTGTCAGGATGTTATCTTCTCTAGTTGATCAATAAATGTTTAGACCAAACTAACACTTTCAATAAAGATTTTGTCCCGACAGTGAAGTCAATTTATGCTGATAAGCATAAACCAATATATACCTTTTTTATCCTTGTTGGGAGTCATCATCAACGCGCTTCTCATTAAATTCAATTTTGAGCCGGCGAACTTCCGGTCAGCAGTTGGAACTAACATTGCTTTTGTTATGGCTGTGGTAGGAGATTTGCAGATTTTTGTCTTTTATGGTGGTTTACAGCGTTCCTGCTCCAGTAGATAAAAGTTCGGTTTAAGTGCTTCGCCGGTTTTCTAACTACCGGAAACGGTTTTAGCGGAAGTGTTTATCCTTCACAACAGGAAGAACTGAGAAACCGAGCAACTCACAATATTAATTGACATCTTTCCTTAGACCAGGATGACGGGCCTTTTTTTTTGCAGTAATATATCTTCCTAAATGCACATATATGGAATGATGACTGAATCACTATAAACGTCCTTTTACCTTTAATGAATGTCCTTGGCAGTGGACTGCTGTTACAATCCTCGAGAAGTTATTAGCTGCTGGAAGCCCCGTTTGGCAAATATTGAATAACGTGAATAAAAAATCCAATTTAACGTTTTCTGGGCTGTTCTGTGCCAGCAAGTGTCCAACACGCAGGAAATTATATGCACACGAACATTCAATCCTAATGAACTTGTATTTACTTTTTCTCTATTTGATTAAGGTGGCGTCGTACTACTAGGAAGTTAGCTGAACTCTCTTGCGAATGTTGTGACTGGCAAATCAAGTGTTGAAAAGACAGTTTTCTATTCTGATTGAGATTGTCTTAAACTGGAAATGAACCCACACTTGTTTAACCGGGCTGGCGTTTACCATGAGGTTAGGCCTGAGCCCAAATTTGCTAACTCGCTTGGATCAAACATTCAGCTAAATCCAAAAAAACAGTCCAGTGGGTTCTCATTGTGATGCAGTAACTTTTTATGGCAACCAAGCCTATGCTGTTAATCTCAAGATAATGCGCTCGCAGACTGGCCTTTGCAGTTGACTAAAAGCGCACTTTGTTCTTGCACCTTTATTAAAATTCTATAGTTATTTAAAAAAAAGTCATACTGATATATCGATAGATGAATGTCTAAAACATTCTCATTCATGACGTGCAGGTCGTTTCTCGATCCAACGCAATGAAGGCTAATTAGAAGCAGTGTTTTGGGAGTGTGGTTCCTCGCTTTGTTCACCGAGTTATTACTCCAGCTGCAAAGCCTGCACAATTCAATTTCAACTGTAATACCATTTATCAAACCGTTTGACAGCTGTTAAATGACAGCCTTGATCAAACTGGCTTAGGACATAAATGAACTTGTGACTCACCTAACTACAATCACCTCGACGACAGACAAGTCCTTTGCGTTTATTTGGGCAATGAAAATAGAGGCCACAGCTTCGTAGAGTGCGGTTCCATCCATATTTATTGTTGCACCAATGGGCAGTACAAACCTTGTCACTCTTTTGTCAATCTTTAGGTTGTTTTCCAAACATCGGAATGTGATTGGCAAAGTCGCTGCGCTCGATGATGTACCCAAAGCGGTAATCCACGCCTGAAAACAAAGAATGGGTTTTTGGTAAAATTACGATGTCGTATTAGTTTGTAGTGAATAAATATTTGCCATATTTTCGCTCATACTTTTCAGTCGTTTCCTACCACAGCTAAGTCCCTGCTGCGAAACACTGCAAAAATTGTACAGTACTAGTAAATTCTTACGAAAGTTCTCACCAGCACATTCAACTGGGACAAAGGAGTCGTTGCGTGCGTGGGATAATTTAACTGCTACCGCAGCTATTTCAAGAAAAAAAATGAGCATTTCTCTTTTGGTCAACAGTGAAATCGTGATGAGTTTGGTTTAATTACACTTGGACCGCTCTGCTAATACAAATGCAGAATAACTTTTAGAGAGTTTACATCCGACTTTTCCGTTTTGAGTGTTGATTAGAAGCAGACTGAAGGTAATGTACCGGTTTAATTGGCTCTCTTTGTTCTTGATGCTTCTTGAATATTCCTTGATGCTTAACTTGTAAGCCACGTGTGAGTTTACTATCCACCATTATGAATGGCCTGTAATGATGGCCGGGGTTGTGAAAGCCCTTCAGCATTCATCTCATTATTTGATTGATCACGAAATTAAAAAGAAATGGAGGGAGTGGATGCCGCTTTGCGTACGAAAGCTTTTGGAGAGTTTTGTGTCATCGCAACCCATACCAGGCCGGAGCCCCCATTTGCCGTCAGTTTTTCACGAGCCACCACAAGGAGACAACAGTCCAGTTACGGCCGGAGACAAGCTGATCCCCTTATGATTATCGCGCCTAGAATGAGCCCGCTTTTTGCAAGTGGGCACCATCACCAGCTCCCTTCATTTGTCTTCTTCCTTCTCCCGAATCCGGGAACATAGACCAGAGAATCGCCTGCCGAATAAGTCATCCGACTCTTGAACAATCTCGGTGGGATATCTTGCGGAACGGGAAGTCGGTTGTGCTTGGGGAAGCATATGCTGTCATTAAACTCAAATGCCTTAGCGTGTTGCAGGTTTGCCATCCAGGATTCTTTGTCAGAGGTAGGATCCGAATAAGTGGCAGGGGGTGGCCACGAGAATTGTTGTTTGAAGCATATGGCCCAGGAACCGAAGCTTTACAAGTTTGCTGACGACAAAAGACGTGTTAGAGTTCTACTGGCTACTCTGTAAGTAAGAATCATCTCCCTCTAATATGGACCAATTTTAAAATGTCCAATTTTATCTTCGAAACAGGTAGAATATTTCTGCAAGAAACCCTTTTTTAGGAAGACCTCCAATCTTTGAACTGCTGGTCTTTTGTTTTGGAAAGCACTCTAGAAAAGTCAGAACTTACGCAGTCCTATAATCTCATTTCACTCTAATGTTAGTTGTTTTATGCGTAGGGATTCTTACTTCTGCAATTCGACGTGCATCCGTTATATAAAGCTTTTTTTAGTGTTTTGATGGCTTTCCTTACTAAAATCAATCAAGCTTACATCCGTACGATGGTAAATCGAGATGTCTGCTGCGTTATCACTGTTGTTGAACATAATCGGGAGTCATGTTATGCAGACTTGTCTGATACACAAAGGTCTGTCTATACACGCTGAGAATGATTCTGAAAATGAGGAAGTTCATCCTCCTACTGTGGTCAAAATAGATCAGCGTTGTCAGATATCTACTTTGGACTGTAGTACTACAAAATTTGTGAAGACAACAAAGTAAAAGGTACAGAAATGGTGACGGTGTTTGAAACGATGTCAGGCAAATAAGGACATTAAGGATATATTGTGAGTTTATGCAGTCAAATCACAGCAGCTTTCCATGGAGGTCACGAAAAATCACCTGTGTGATATTAAAATATCTGCATCAGTTGCTATCCAAAAGCCTAACATTCCGGCAATATGTGCTCGGAGCAGCTGCGTGGGTACTCATGCTTGAATATTAAGCAGTAAATGTTCGTTAAACCTACCACCTGTTTTGATGCTGGTCATTTCTCACATAGACTCACATTAGCTGTGGTTTTGCCCTGACAGGCCGCTTTGACCTCTGCATGATTCCGGCTGGCAACGAAGTTACTTAGGAATGAACTAAGAGTCAGGAAGCTAATTCGCAAGATGTCAACCTTCACGTGCAATGCTCCTCAGTATAAGCTGACTGACGTGATTACTGTTTGGTATAGTACATAAAGCACATATAACTAGGCCTTGAAAAAATCGGAAAACTTGCTTTCCGTTTCACCGGAAAGCAAAGTTAAATTCATTCAAGCAGTCGAAAACACAAACTATTTGGGGTGAACTGACGCAACTCAAACGATAACAACTCCAGACTTAAAGCTAGCACTGACATTGTGATCCTTGCAGGCGATTTGAATGCTCAAATAGATCGTCTGAGCTCCTCGGAATCACATTTGGGTGGTTGATTCGGAGTCGATTCTCGCCACACAGACAATGGAGTTCGACTCCTTCTGTTGTGTGCCGATCACGAACTGCTTCTGGCAAGTACGAACTTTCAACATAAACGTTCGCACCGCGTAACCCGGCGGCCGCCAACTACAAATCAACCGTGGGCCCAGTTGGACCAAGTGGCCATCAGCCACAGGTGGAGAGCCACAATCCAAGACTGCCGTTCTCTCTGGGGCACACCGATCACGCCATGGCAGTCCGTTTCCCTTCAGACACTCGCAAGTCGGCAAGAAGCATGCCAATCCACTATCTTCGAAGAACTGCCATAGCTCAACAGTATCGCTCAGAGCTAGCCCAACAACTTTCCACAGTAAAACAATACTGTGTTGGCAGTGAGCATGTGGATGAAGCGTGGCAAAATGTGAAACGAGCTATACTAGCGGCATTCAGTGCTGCCTGCCCGACTTCTCCAATTCGACCACGGGAAAACTGGATGTCGTCGAGGTCGTTATCCATGATTGGTGCCAGGAAAGCCATACCAGCAGGCAACGAGTACGACGACGCACGCAAATCCCTCAAATGCCAAATAGTGAAGAGTCTAAGGAAAGACCGAGAGCTCTGGTGGATATCGAAAGCTCGGGAGATGGAGAAAACGTAAACACCCGTGCCCTTTATCAACTGATACGATCGACTGGCCCTATGAAAGCAACGGTCAGCGAAACAATAAGTGAAAAAGATGGCTCATTAATTCACTCGCAAAAACGTTGACTGGAGAGATGGGCCGAGCACTTCGAAGAGCAGTTCAGCTGGCCTCCTGCAACACAGCC